TGTGCATGCAAAGCAAGCGTAACACGGTATTAAGTAATCCAGAACATCACATTTTTGTCTTATGAGACATTATCAGGCTTATACTGCCTGCTTAACAGCGTTCTACTGCACAGCAAGTTCTCACCAGTGAATTCAGAAGACTGAAGAAACTTAGAGCCATCAGAGCGATTTAGTGTTTGATGCACCAGGCCCAAAGATGTTTCACTTTCTGAAAAGAAGTTCAAGATTTATTTACTTTAACAAGGCATTAAGACACTACGAGAACATGAATTACTAAGCCTCTGACTATTCCTAACACAGCCTTATATTTCAGCCCAACAGAACTCAGCCTCAAGTTCCTGCTGTCAGAACTCTACAATTCTAGAGCTACAAGTTATAAGCTGGATGCCAGATGTACACATGTACTCCCTACCCAGTGGTAGGAAAACAATCAGAAAACAATGACTAACAAGGGTTTTTACTGCTTGTCATTGAAAGAAAGCCACAAGTGCTTGCTATGCTCTGGAATCTGGCTGCCCACCATCCTAAAAATCAACTTCCCAAGAACGCCATGGGCTACTTGAGGTACATACAGTTCACTCTACGGTCAGTGTGTGACCATTCGTGCATGGAATGCAAAGTCTTAACAATTTACACAAGCCCACAGATCCAACAACTCAGAGCAAGGTCTTATTCCAGCTTACTTCAAGCTGAGCAAGAAAAAGTGGAACAAAGTCTCTGCAAAGAGACAAGTGTGCAAATGTTTCAGTAAGCACCCGTCCTTTCCCCAAGTCACAGCATTTCCAGAGAAGTAGGTTTTCTTCTCACAATTTCCTCCTTCAACTCACTCTAAGGTAGGCTATAAACGCCTCTGCTATTCCCAAAGCACATCTAATTCGGAACTCGTTGTTTGTTCAGTTAGGATCTCAACATCTTGACCACAGAGCAACTAAGGATGTTAATTCCCAGTGGTAACTGAAAGGGGCTATTAAAAGCATCAATGTTTTCTACTGACCAGGATTTCCCTCCCATAAGAAAACAGGTATCTGGAAAAGGGAAAATAATAAAGCAGACAGCAGTGCAGAAACTACTGCAAATACAAGAGCTAAATAAATATGTGAATAGCCAGCGATGGCATAAAAGCAACAAAAAAAATGCAACAGGTCCTACTGCTCTGGAATGAGGAACTGCCAAAGAGACTGAGAGTTCCCTCCAGCCTCCTTCTGGGAAAGAGGCACCTTAGCTGGAGGTAGGAGGCAGCAGGGCACAGGAAGGGCAGCAGTTACCCTTCCCAAGAACACTATAAGCACTAAACTACCAAAAACTAGCAGTGACCCATCCAGCATCGTTACAGAACTGGAGACAGGAATGCTACAAACACTTGGGAAACGAAAGCATAGCTCACCATCCCACTAAGCCCTTCAGTGTGCACAGGACAACTTGCTTTTTTTCTTTTGCACATCTTAACTTGCTTCTGAAAAGCATCAAAGCTTACTGGGATAAATACCTTATGAAATTCCCACATACAAAATGATTGAATACCAACAAACAACTTGTAGCAAATAATTTGCATTTCCACTTTGTAAGAAAGGGAAGGCAAGGTAAACTATTCTGGATTCCTTAATGATATTCTGTATGTCTGTAGGTTTGCACGTAAAGTACCATCTCTAATACCAGAGGTAACTAAGAATTTTCAGGAAGTCTTCTGCCAAAACACTCAGGCTTCCTCTCAAACAAAGTACCAAGAATTAAGCAGAGACTAACCAGACTTGCAGACCTCTCCAGAGAGACCCAACTTCCCCCTGTGAAGAAGGCAGAAAAGAACAGAACGCATCACAGAAGCCTGGTCTTAACGCAGAGTCTCTCATCTTTGCTAGTAACAGGTGTCTCTGGTATGCCCACTAAACACAAGGCTGGGATAGAACCATCTACACAGTACAGTTACAAGGGTCTCAAACCTGAGATTACCAGATGAGACACTCAAATAGTGAAGGCAGTCATTAATAACAAGCCTGCAGGAGGAAGTCTCCAGAATTCGACACAGTGTGAAGGCCTGTGAACCACCTTCTTGCCACTTGCCTGGCTACCTGGATCGATCTCAACAAGGAAAATGAGCTCTGGCACACACATACTTCAGATGAACATTCTTGGCTACTGCATACTCCAAATTATTAAGATATGCAAGAGCACATCTTAAGGATTATAATCTGGACACACAGACTCATCAATAATGGCTCCTTAAGTATTTTTGTTCGTTTTATTCAGAGTGAGTAGTTCTGCCCACTGAAAAACAGTCAGTCCTCCACCAGAATCAGGTTTTTACACTCTTGCCTGCTTTTTACTTGTGCCCTTGGTAATATATGCCTGAAAATCCTTGAATCAGCTTCTCTTGTTAGAAGGTAAAAACGCATCTTTTCTAGTTCTTCAGCAAGATGAGAAGGGGCCACCTCTCTTCAAAGGTGATGCTACTTTTCGTGGCTACTTGATCCTGCTGCTGAAGTCTAACCTTCCACATAAGGCAAGCGTAGTACAAGCCATGCTTCTACATAACTTGTGAGAGGTATAAGACATCCCTTTTTCAGCTGACACAGAAAATCTCATGGTAACAACTCCATCTTCCATACTTTTTTTTTTTTTTTTTTTTTTTTTTTTTAAAATGCTGAGCAGTTTGACAACCAGTATCAGAACAGCTCCTGCTTCTTCAGGTGCAAAAATCATCACGAATCACCTCCTGGCTCTTTGAGGAAATCTCTCTCCAGGTCTTCAGGACAAAAACCAAAGCCTCCTGTAGCCAGAGAAGAATGGCATGTCACAGCACAGCTCTTAGGACTTGAGACACTATCACAGCTTCTTGCCTGTGCTGCCCACATATGACAGACCTGTCTATAAATGGCTGTGGAAGACTCTGTTTGACATCAGCATGTCTGGACTGTTCCAGGTGGGAAACGCTCCATTTCTTTAAGCCTCTTTGATATGGAACTGGAAAAAGCACATCACATGATGGAGCACAGCAACGTGGCCACCTCTGCTAAGTGCTACAGAATCTTACCCAAAGGTAAGCAATTTGGCTGGACTGCAACTCAGAGCAGCAGCAGAACACTAGTAAATAGAATGGCACCAAGGTGAACTGCTGTATGCTGGTTTCCAACTCCTAATCCTAGATAACCATCATCACACCACATATACACAGAAGAATCATAGCTATAGGAATCCAATTAAGATTGTGAGTAATTCCAAGAACACAATCTACCCACCACACTGCTAACAGATGACTATCCAGAGATTATGGGAACTTGTTTGAAGTACTCAGATACTCCAGAATTTAAAGCTCCCAGAATTTGCTTATTTTACACCGATAAACACATCTATAGAATTCCAGGTACAAATGAACACAATATGCCAGGCACTCATACATGCTTCAATACACAATCGTGTAATTAAATTTGGTACAGAATTCATCACCATAAATAACTCCACTTCCTTACCTCCAGTTAGGAGGTATTCCAACCATCTTTTTAAGGAAAACATTCTTAAAGAATCTTTTATATGTACTCATATATACACCGACACATGTTTTGAACTCAAGTTGCTCATTTCTGTTAAGTCTCATTTCGAGGCACCGCCTATCAATATTTCAGAGACTACTTACAGAGAATAAACTATCCATTGCACAGGTATGTTCTTTTGCATTAGGCAGATGACACTCCAGTTCTAGACATGGTTTACTGATATGAAACCTCATTTGAGAGAAGGGCCCGAATTCAAACACTAAAAGCCACACTTAGATTACAACCCCCAGCTTTGGACCTAACACATTTTCCTGCAAGAGTCATGAAAGAAGGGGTGGAGGGTGGTGCTGGGGATAAGGACCCACTCTAGGACAGCGTGGAGAGGAAGCATGAAAGAAGGGAGCTGAATAAAGCCATTCAATCATTCTGAAAACAGGGAACAATTTTCAGGAAAAACAAGGGGGTGCAAGGAATTAAGATGAGAAAATGGACAAAATATACTGGTGAACAGGAGGATTAATCAGATACCAGAATACCTTTCAGCAAGTCCCCAACACATCCCACAATCCAGGAAGTTGAGTATATGCACCTATACCCACCTCACCTCTATGTTTCCCAGCTTTTTTTTTGTTTGTTTTCAAAACTGTAGCTTGAAAGGGAAAATATGATTTTAATCTTTAAAAAAATTGCAGTAGAACACTTGCAAAACTATATGGGTTTGTCTTTTTTTTTTTTTTTTTTAAAAAAAAAAAGCAACAACAAAAAAGAAATCCACTTTAGTTCCCTTTCTATAAAAAGGTGAGACCAAAACTCAAGTTCCCTAGGTCGCATGCTAACCACATAAGCACCAGCGTCTTGCTGTGATGAGCCCAATACAGAGATGCTATCTAACAGTATTTCAGTTCCATCGCAGCAATTTCCATCGAGTCTCCTGACAGTCAGTTCCTCAGTTCTGTAACTCGGGTTCTACGAAAGCCACCTGGCACGTGCTGGTGGGATATACAGGGGATGAGTCCCAGAGCTCTGCCAAGCATGTGCGCACATGCACAGCACGGATGGCAGTAGATGGGGTTATTTTTTGGACAGCAGATGGTATTTAGTTTTATCATGTCCAGTTCAGGATTTATAAGCAAACTGGGAGTTTAAATGCAAACATTTCAGCCAAAGCACCACATTTCAAAAAAATTTAGAACATAATCTTTGTATCAATATTTAAATCAAAGTATCTTTAATTTTCAAAGTTTAGATACCCCAGGTTAACTTCAACCCCATACAAAACTGTTTCTAAACCACCACCTTTCTAAAACCTTAACTGTATCTGCTAAGGCAGTCTGCGTAAATTTGAGATGTGTTACACTACTGTTGGCAATAACTAAGGATAAGCATTCTGTGCAGCAAAGATAAAAGATAGGCTGCTATCATCAAAATAAAGTATGCACGACCTAACCACATTCAGGATTCTCCGAGCCAAGTTCAGTATTTCTAAAAGCAAGTTTGTCAAAGTAAACATACCAAAATGTGCTGAACCACTGCTACTTTTACTTTGTATAGAGGTACTGCATGTCTGGGTCCCAGGTTGTGCTGTGCCTGTTCGATTTACACCCCTGTACAGTTTCCTACAGGAGAGTTCGTCATTGTCACTGTCATGTAGGGATGGTGTCCGAGGCCTAAAGTGCCGCCATCTACATGATTTGATATTGACTAGTATCTGACTGAGGTCTTTCGAGAAAGATTTGTCCGAGGTATTTGTTTCTGAGGTATTGGCAAATTGACTGATTGAAGAGTGTTGTGATGAGGAAAGCATTTCCAAATCCAGCTGATGAAATGTATTATCGTAGTCCGAATGCGCTCTGTCCAGCAGCACCCTAAAAGAAAACAATGCAGAATTACACATGGCAAATACCAAAGGAAAACACCAAGAAGTCACCAGCTTGTCACGTGTGCTTGGGGTAAAGTAGAAGAAACCACAAAGTTGCTCCAGAACACACAGATTTTGGAAACAGGCACAGGAAGTATGACTATATCATTAGTGCTTTACAGGAAGTAGTACGTTTAGGTTTCTTATTCTAGCTTTTGCTGTATAAATAACTGATGTACACCATGGCGGAGCTACTGCGGCACCGCAACGTCAGTTGCAGAAGTCTTCCAACAGGTTCAAACATTCCTGGAGTACAATAAAAATGGACACTGAAATGCTTAAGTAACTAAGTGCCCTCTTACAGCAAATTCCATGTAAATGCTTTACTAACACATCAGCACACCTACCATCACTGCACAAAGAACCGAAAGTGTCAGATCCCAATCAAAATGCCACTATGAGCCTGCAGCTCCTAACGTCACCTGCTAACACACTAAGAGATTCTAAGCAAATCTGAATGCCAAATCACAAATTTCTCCCAATTATGATAAAAAAAGAAGACATGAAAGCTGAGTTCAAGATACACATTGTTTACAGAAGCACACTTAAGACACTAAGTGACATATAATTGTTTTTTAACCATTACAGTAGGTCAAAAGTAAAATGCTTGAATTAACAGACTTGAATTCATTAAGGTTTTTGGTAACATTCAGAACTTAACCGTTATTTTCACTTCTAAAAATTCCTTCCAAAATTCTCCTCTATAGCAGGACTGAACTAAGAAAAACATTTTCATCAAACATCTATTATTTCAACTTCCAAACACAGTACACTGTCTTAAACTACGCCACTCACTTCAACATGAAACAACTACATTTGTTTTCACCTCAGAACTGAGCACTGCTGACAATAAACAAAGTTGAGAAACTTTTCAGCAAGCAATGTTAAAGCAGCGTCTGCTACAAAAATGGAGACACTGATCTGCTGAAGCCATCAAATGGAAGCATTTAAAATATCAACTTCTGTAATATTGAGGGTTGTTCTTTTTTTCTTTTTTGTTTGCGTTGTGCATTTTATCTTTGCTCATTTCAGAGATGACTTTTATATATATAAATAAATACATAAACTTTTATATGTAAATAAATGTATAAATTTATACATATATACATATATACATATACATATATATATACATATACATATACATATACATATACATATACATATACATATATATATATATAAACTTAAAACCAAAAAAATAATCACAACCATTACACATCACTCACCTTCCTCCACGGCCGACCCGCCTTCGTGCAAACCCAATACACCTCTGGGGTACTGTCAGAGTGGTTAAGCAGTATCTGTAACGCACATCTCCTAGTCTTCCCTCTTTAGGGCTACTCCATGGCCAGTTGCCAGGTTGGTCTAAATGAGGCTTAAAATAATCACAAACAATTAAACACACAAGTTTTCCCATCAACAACGTTCTGTCTTATTGTACACAAGGAAATTCTACTTACAGCATAGTACTGACAGCCTGCTTTCCTACGGAAGGCAAAAGGACCATCGGGATCGTTTTCTTCCTCAGCCTCTGAAGAACCAGACAAAACCTGCAAAATGCAAGCAGGGTGGGCGAGTGCAGGTATTAGTAAGCGTGAGAGTTTTATTACTATTCCTTCCCTAACAGGAAGGGAGAATTCTAGAGATCCTACCTGGGAAAGGGGTTCTTCATCCGAGCTAGGGAAATCATACTGATTCAAATCTTTAGCATTAAAGACTGGCAGTGCAGCAGGACTCGTCTGTTGAGGAGTAGCAGCAGCAGATGAAGGTAAGACTTTTGGCTTCTTCTCATACTTTCTTTTGGGCCGAATAACATCGGATTTATCCTGCTGAAAGGAAAAGCCGCAGCAAATTTTTTACACACATCATTTTATTAGACTACAAAAGTAGCTCTGCAAAACTACTATGTAAGCAAACTAAACATTAACATCTTCACGCTAGCATCGTAATAGCTACAGAAGCAGACCTTTCAAGAATATTTGTACTTCACTTCAAAAAACTGAAATGTTTAATACATAAAGTGGAAGCACTGTTTGCCCTGTAGCCATCCCAATAGAACACCAGTCAAAGTGAATACACTGCTCTGGGGAAGCAGACCAACATGTACACAGCAGTGCTGTTAGGCTGATGTTCGTAGGCGTTTATGCAGTGACAGGGAAATCAAGAACCAAATAATGCTTTAAAAGGCAGAAGTGACCTCCTCGAAGATACCCAGAATCTCTGAACACAAAAATTAAACTCATTTCCCCATGCAGCTTCAAATGCATTTTCTAAGTTTCTGACAAACGTGCCTCCTCCAAGCTCTGAGACACCGCACCAACCCAGCATCACTCATAGATGAGTTCACTCCAGCAATCTCAAATACAGTGTCCTGCTATCAGTGGAAGCACTGACTGACTCAAGGTATCCTGTCAGATCCCAAACAGTTCTTGGATATTCCTGAGATACAAGAAATCTGTGCACAATTCAAATGTACTTCAGCTTTTCTGCTATTATGTCATGTATTTAACATGCTAAGCTGTTGGCACTGTAGATACGTTTTGTATGGCAAAAGCCAGCAGGACGCAGAAAACACTGGTCACTATTCACTAATTGATACTTAGTACAAAACCAGAGTAGTATGTTTAGGCTGCAGCTAGACTTGATGATCTTTAAGGTCTCTTCCAACCTGAGCAATTCTATGAATCTATGAAACACAGAAATACAGCGTAGTAGGAATATCAGTGGCTCACATCAAAATACATACACTGAGTCAAGCATGCCTCTGGATTAAAATAGCTACATGAATTCACAACAGACCAAGGGTTTTATCTTATCAGTCCTATCTTTACTGAGTATCTGGGCAACAAATACAACTCTGTTCAGAACACCCTAACTTCAGGGACATTAACTGATTAAAACATCAGTATCAACCAGTGCAAAAGTTTAACAGAACTGTAAATATCCTTCTGTCTGTAGTTCATCTGAATTCCTTCTGTTTTCGTCCTGAGGAACTCCATTAGTTTCTAGATTTTCATCACTCCAACAGAACAAAGCATTCTACTTCTATAGCAGCTCTGCTAGACTATTTCCAGCACCCAAAAGCTCCCACCTCCCTCCCAGTTAAGAATATTTTCTGCAGATATATCCTGAAATGCCGTAGTTTGCTTATGTTACAGCATACAACAACTTTGTTATCCACATTACTCACTTTAACTTTATATTCTTTCAGTTCCATAGTTTCTTGATGTTTGAAAGGACTGCTGTTAGTCACAGGAATGATGGGAATAGCATAGGTAGGTTTCATTGGCTGCCGCTGCGCCATGACCTCAGACACAATCTCTCCACTGTAATCACCCAAATTATACCTGTAATTAAAAAATACATACATAAGATCACTCTTACGAATATTCATAACACTGGTAAAAACACACCAAAACATGCAACAGTCAAACACAGAATAACAATACCTGCAACTTGGGGCAAGTTCCCAAGTCAGCATGAAGTTCAAAAATGACTGTTGCAGAAGAGACAAATAGTGTGCAAATTTTTACTGCAACGCCTAGTTCTGACAAACAAGGATAACTGTCTGCTAAAAAATAATGCAAAGGGAAGAAGAGGAAACAAAAACCTGAAGGAAGAACAGGACAAGTTCTTTCCCTCCTTATCCGGTGACAGTACCACTCAAAAGAAAAAATTTATCACAAAAATTGTTCAGCAGCGAGACAGAGAGCCTTATTCAGAACCCCTCTTTGTGTAAAGGCACAGCTTTGTAAGATGTAGAACCACAAATTGCAATATGTTTCAAGACCTGTGCACAGTGCTAATTTGACGGTCAGGATTTTTCAGTAATTGTGTTCAAGAGTTTACTTTCTTTAAAAAGCTAGTGCATCTCTCCCCTAACTCTACTAGACAAGAAAAACAGAGCACCTGATAGAAAACAAAGATACTCAGCTCGTGTTCCCAAGAACTCAAACTAAAATCAATAAGAGGTTTGTTTTAGAGCTTTACAGTACTGACTGTAAACATCCTAAGTTTTCAAACACGGACACTTAAATTTGATAAGTCCATTCAGATTCTAAATACCATCTGCCTAAAAGAACAACTCCACATTTCAAATGTGATTCTCAAATCATTGTGAAAGTGTCAGCTGAGAAAGTGGAGCGTTCGGTCTCCTGCACAGCTGTCAAATAGGATGTCAGCAGGAACACAAGTTGGAAACTCCTCACAGAACAGTATGTCATACTGAATGAAATGCCTGCTGGTTTTCTTCAGGGGGATATTCGTTAATCTACACAGTTACGTAGTTTAACATATCAATTTCTAAAGGAATTTACCTGAAGCTATGTTCTTCCTTCCTACATAATACACACAACACGAGATGCAAATGTTTGAATACACATATAATAGAACAATGCAGGCTGCTTTTTCCACAATGAGTGACTCCCTAAATTCAATTTTGCTCTTCAGAGCCATAAATGAAAATATACTATATAGCTTACAGCAGAAAAATTCGAATTTTTATTTTAAGATCATCTCTCGTATTTTATAAAATATTCATGAGAATTGAAATCTACAGCAGTTTCCAAAGCTTTCTGTAGCACATTTGCAAGAAATGTTACCTCTTTTCGATAATTTCCAGTGTTAAATGCAGCAACTCCCTCTTGCTTTTTTCCCTTCTCTTTATCATCTCCAGGATGGTTACTGCACGACTCAGGTCTCGACGCAGTTTAAGCATCTTCTCATAAGACGCCTCGTCATTTTTTCGATTCTGTAGATACAAATGTAGTTTTATGTTTTCCCACATCATTTAGATTACATAATCTGAACTAAAAACTAAAAAAGTATTAGGTTTTTTAAACCACACACAAAAAATGAAGATAACCAGATGCGTCTGCCAATAAGCTACAGCTTTCTGCCATCACAAGCAGGTTTAGCACCTAAACTAGAGAGCAAAAACTACTGAATGCAAACTTCCTTCAACAGCTGGTCTAAAGTAGTTAGTCTTTTTTTTCTTGCAAATTAAAAGGGAAAAAGCCAAGCAAACAAAAAGTAGTGAAGTATTACTTCACACTACTTAGCAAGTTTGTCTCTTTAAATTAGCTACTTTATGAGAGGGAAGAGAAGGAAGAGAAACAAGTGACAGGGAAGCATTAGTCTACTTACTTTCCTTGTCTGCATCTTTTCTGTTCGTCTTCTAAAAGCAACATAAGGATCGTTTGTGCTGGAGCCATCTCGCTTCTCTTGTTTCACTGCTGGGATAAGAGAGGGCCCTCGACAGTTTTTCCTCTTTTTAATCCAGTACTCGTATACTTCTCTGATCAATTCATCATCTTCTTTCAGCAACAGCTTGGCCTCCTGCAGGCTGACTGGCTAAATGTAAAACCCAGTATGTCACTGTCATATGGCATTACAGACAATGCACATTTCAGATTTTTTATTCAAAGCAACACCATACCTGCTGACCACTGCCCTTTTCTAGTCGGTCTATCATCTCTTCAAATTGCAAAGGAGAGATATCCATTCTCTTCTTCAACTTATTGACAAAGACCTCATCTTCTGAATCCATGTCATAATCCGGCTGCTCAGCATCCAAACTAAAAGCTGAACGATACAAATTAAGGTCAAGTCACTGTTTTACTACAGAAATGTTCTAACAGCAGTGTCTGCAGTATGTGCCAGATCCTTCTGAAGACAAAAACCAAGATAACGTTTGTACACTGCTTAGAAGTAACACCTGCCTGTTTTACTGAAATAAATTATATGACTGAAATCGAGGATAGATACTGATATCTACTTGAGCATGCTTTCATTAACTAATGAAAGCTTTACAGTGTCCAAAACATTCAGAGGTATTCGACCCCACTACTTTCAAGGAGAACTTGCTGTATTGGTCAGACTTCACTATCATCTCATGTTCTACAATTTCATGTTGTAGCATCCATGTCAGAAGTTAAGACTCCAGCTTAAATGCTTTAAGAAGTATTCCTAGAGACTACATACACAGTGTATGAGAGACCTCACAAACCTTCTCAATGACTTCTCTGATCCAAAGGTATCAGACCAAACTAGTCCAATAGCATCGTGGCAGGGGACCTTAAATTATAAACCATGTATTACAGAACATCCCCTGGTTCTCAGCTTCATGCAAACTGCTTTGGTTTCTCAGAACTATCGATTTCTTAAAGTATGCATTTCACATTGTGAAAAGTATGACCTGCTTTTAAAAAAATGCAGTTGAATGTTGTCATAGCAACTAAGAGACCACTAGTAATAAGTAAAAGAAGAGTGAAAAACTGCATCTTGGCATCAGCATATGAGACTCCTAGTATTAGTCTCTCCATTTGCTTATTAGAGCATGCTGCTTATTACTCAGCTTATTACTGAAGATCAGACTGACACAGAAGCCTCATATTAAGCCAGTGAGCAAGGCATAACTATGGCTGTGTACACACACAACAGATTATCAGAATTTAAAAAACAACACAAGACAGTTCTGCAATATAGGTGTCCAAAGTAATGTGCTCATGTCAAGGTCCACATCCAAGCAGAGCAGCTGCTACGTTCCAACACCAGCAGCATCCTAACACATACACAACTCAGTGAAACTGCTAAAATTGAAGCACGAACATACAGACATAAGAAAGACGTTATCTTCTTGAAGAGGAGCTTAATATTCCTCTGAACAGGTGTGACAGGGGAGTGCACACTGCATAAATGCTGGAAGAAATACATGCTCCCAAGCTAGATTTCACAGGAGCTCAAAAGGCATTTAAGATTGATCTTTAACTGCTGGTAAAATCAAGTTTCTGGTGTAGGCTCCAACAACTGCTTTACTTACGCTGTATGTGAATCAGCTGCTTTGGCATTTTAAATTCTCCAGGATATATAGATTCATAGTATGCAATATTACTTTCAGCTTCTGGGACTGGTATAACCATGTTATCCCTCTTCTCTCCATATACTTGTTGTGCTGAGATAGCCCGTTGGAGATGATGTTCCTATCAAAGAAAAAAATGAAGTCAACATCAAAAAAGCTACGAGTATATTTTCAGAGCTCAGACTTTAAAACGCACACCTATTTCCCCACAAATGGTCCCATTCCCAACCATGAGACAGGACATAAGAAACCACTTATTGAACTCCTCCTTCTGAACTCAGTCTATCAACTTGCAGGTTTTTCCAGTAGGTGGAGCCCTCTCTCCTACACAAACACGGCAGACTTCAGTTACTGAGCTAAGCCACATGCTCTTGGCACACCACCCTACATAAATTCATACTTAAATATTTCTGGAAAGACACTACAGATGGATGAGACATACAGACTGTGACAAGTACCTGCAGACATATTCACAGCAGTTTTTTTCTGCTACTTGCTATGGCCATTTGTCAAAAGCAAAGACAAGAAAAACACAGAGTAGGCCAGCCATCATCTCCTACCATGAAGATAAACAACCGTTCATTCCCGTTAACCCAAACAGGCGATTCTTGTTTATCACAATGCTTTACATCACCCTCCTTTTTCCGCTCCTAACCCATCAATGCTTAATATCAAACTAAAAACCACCGCAATGAAAATAATTTGCTGTCAGGAAACAACAGCAGTTTCTTAAGCCTAGAAGTAAATAGCATTTGCAACTGCTACTGCAGTCTGAGTAACAGGTCAGCAATACTGCTGAGAACCTTCTAATGCTACTACTGAAACGCACTCCATCCTTCCTGCGAGTCTTGTCAGGACAGCAGGTAGTAACAGCTCAGCCTGTGTATGTCAGCAGCACCAAGCACGCACACAGCGTTCACACACACATTACGAGTGGCTCATCCGCAGTGTAACACTGAACTTCTCCCATAGCAGCAGAACACCTTTGTTGCTTTCTGCATTCGAACTGTTCTTCTCAGGTGCCATAATCCAACGCAGCACCAGCTCTGCCCACACTGCTATCGGTGGGATGCTATAATGCTGGCTACTGAAATACTGACACCAACAACTACAGCAAAAGGGCAGGGGGAGAAAACAACTGATTTCACAAGCAAAGCAAGAACCCACCAGTGTTCAGCTGTATCACCTTATTACAGCTTTGTCAGACTCCAGTTTAGGCCTCTTCAGCACAATACAAGCAGTTAACACCTTTCAAATAAAGCCACGTCAGAAACTGTAAAATTAACTTTATTGTAAACTGCAAAGCCAGAGCAGACCCTCAAACTAAAACCTGCTGCAAGGTGCAGTTTTGTTGCAAGAATTCACAGGGGTTTCAGCTCATCAATTCCTTCAAACAAGCTGCAAAGTCTGTCCACATCAGTCTTGCTAAGCCATCTTTTTATGAAGAGAGACCAACTGTGGTAACATGGCATCACATAGTCATGAACAAAACTCACTGGATTTTTTTGATCCTCTTGCATTTGATAAACCTCAGCCACATCGGAGATACAGCAACTAAAGTGAATTCTTTCTATGACTTACTTTCTTTTTTAATCACAAGAGACTCCATCATCAGAACCTCCCTATCCCCCAGATTATCACATTTGGGCAGAAACTACTAACAGGGACGGTGCACCTTGCTTCAACAAGTCAGCTAATGGCTCAGCCACCTCCCTCCTGATAATAAACATCAAGTGTGAAATAGAACTCTGGAAGCTTATTTTTCAACACAAAAGCATGTGAAGAACTACAGCCAGCCAGCCTATGACTGCTTCCAGTTTCTATTTTGCATTCATTCTCCACTGTGGCTGCACAGCTGATTCCTCCCACTCAAATGCAACACTTCATTCATCTGAAGCTGGAGCCTTCTGCTTAAAAGTGCAGCAGTTACCTCAGTTTGCCAGAACGCTTCTGAATCAAAAAGCCCTTGTTGTTACACTGGTTTACTATATCAGATGCTATAGACCAAATCTTCCCCAAACCTGGCAACAAGCACTTCAAGACAGAGCTCTTCAGAGACCCAACGGATCTCTGCCCTTGATCATCCACTTCCAAGTACAGTTTTCCAACCAGTTACGCTTTCCCTATAGCACCAGTTCCAATGGCACTGTTTCTTGCATAACTGCAATAATAATTATTGCAGTAATTGCAACCAAGTCAAGTGCTGCTATCCAGCAGGTCTCAGCTGGCTACAGCAAGAAGCTGGACTGGGTTAGCCTGGTTTCACATCTGAAAAGCTCCTGTTTTTGTTTACAAAAAGACTAGTATTTTCCAGGTGATCACTGGGCCAAACACTTTCAGCCACCCATACCTCCTACAACATGCAATGAAGCTGGCTGGTCACAATCCCCCAGCTCCCACCATTCTAACAGTACTGAAAGCAGTGTCACTGCAGGGCCCTCCCCATCCTCTGGAGGTGCCACCTGCCCTTCACAAGTTCTCAAAGAGCTGTGAAATTGTTTCTGACTGTTTCTTCAAAGCCCCGATGTGAATTTTAGGTGGCTAAGTCAAGCTCCAAGGCTAAAGCTGTCATGTCAGAAGAAAACCCGGCTAACAGCTGGCTACCAGGAGGTGTGGTCCGGTCCCCTTGCTGTCAGTCCCTATTATTGCTGCCTTGTACGAGGCTGATCTGTGACAGCTGAGGGAAGGGAACGGACAGAGCAGCAGCTCTCCTGTTGTTCTCCCCAAAGCAATTAGCGCTCCAATAACTGGCTCTGGGAGCAGGATGTGAGGAAGAGAGAACACAATCCTCTCTGGCAGCAGCCAAAGTTGCTTAGCTTCATCATTACATCAAAATTTGTCCTTTTAGGGAAGAAAAAAAAAAAAAAAAAAAGAGGGCAATAAAACCTAAAACTCATAGAAAGCAATGCTGGATAAGCATTTTCGACAGCTCAGCATCAAGCATAATCAAGTCTTTCTCTTAGTACAAGTATAGCACCCCCTTCTTGAACCACATTTGCAGCTAACTGCTTAACACCTTGTTCCTTTTTCTGAGACAAGCCTTTCACTTCACATTCACGTATTATTTGTTCCAACTCCCCATATGCAGGCTCTTGTGCCAACTGATCCTTCTTATCAAAGCAATACTGGAACAGACCACAGCTGCCTGTTTTATTAGTGCAACCCAGGCCAAACTACTGGAGAACACACAAATCAGCAGGTCCTTCCCTCTCAGTTTGCTTCCCTTAGATCTTTCATACATCCCCTCTGTTTAACTAGTAGTTACTGAAATGTACTTCTTTCTACTATTGTTTCTTCATAGAAAACTGTAACCACAAAGGTGCCTTATCCTCACTGAAATGCCTTCTATTTTTACATTAGCTATGTTCAGCCCATTAGGCTCACATCCAGGAAAGCTTCCCGTGCAGTTGCTTCCTCTGCCTGACACGAAGGAAACATAGCCTTGGGAGTTGTGCTACAAGGCCCATCTGATCCGCTGCTTTCAGAGCAGTGGCAGCTTTCCTCAAACCGCATTCCTTCTACTTGGTGCAGACACCAATGCTCATCCAATCCGTACATGAGGCCACTGAGTGTTCAACCAAAGCCAGAAGTCTCCCCCCAGCCCAGTGCCCACCAGGTAAGCTGCCTGCCAAGGCTCACCACAAGCTCAGACAGCTCCAGAGCAGAAGGGCTGCAGCAGGAGCGCACACCCTGAGGGGCAGCCAGGAAACAGCTTTGCTTCGTGCAACCCGCAGCCATGAATGTGGCACTGCACCCTCTGGATGCCTGTCCAGAAAGGTATCTGGGCAGAATTCCAACACTCATCATTGCGCTTCAGGTTACTCTGCTACTTGCTTAAACAAACGAAGTAACTATTTCCTCCTTTTTTCTCTCCTCTGGTTTTCTTCTAATTGAAGTCTACCAAGAAAGCCCACTGAAACAGCAACCCTCCCTCTGATTTCCAAGAAGATGTCAAGATAAGATGTAGTCTGTACATTTTTTAAGCTAAATTATACATGAATACCATCCTTCATTCCTTAGTCTTCCTATTAATTCCTAACATACATTTGCCACTTGCACACACTTTCACCGTATCAGTTTGGCAATTACGCTCCACAATCTCAAAGAGCAGATCTCTTAGAGACAGTTCAAGGCACAGAGGCAGTACCAAGAGGCACTGCCAAGAGGCAATATCCCCAGCAAAGCGGGATTACTGCAGCTCACAGAGCAGCTGAGCACAACAGAACTGCAATTTGTTCGCTTCTGATCTGAGGAGCAACAGGACCTCTCTCAAATGATAATGCAGGAACGCCAGTGGAATTCTTTGGAAACTCATCTGTGAGCTCAACTAAGCAGACAGTGGTAATTGGGAACAAAACTCTTTGCTTCCTTGCTCCTTTTTGTAACGCCCAGCAAGTTTTAGGCAACAGGACTGTTGGATTCCAAGTTACAGTTCCTCACAGAAAACCAGCACTGACAGAGCACAGAGATTACTTTGACAGAGCACTCCACAACACACCTTGGAGGCTACACTCTAACTACGATAACCAGAAGGCATTTAGAGTAAGTAAAAAAAATCTAAGTGACATCACCCTATCATTAATAGTTGCACCAAAGGAACAGAATGTGTGGTATTATTACATTACTGCAGTAGAAAAGAGTATGTCTCTGTAAGAATGAAGGGAAAAACTCACTATTTTCTAATTGGACTGCATAATTCTTCTAACAATTCCAAAGCTCTTTAAAAGATAATTTAAAGGCACATTTGTGTGCAAAAATTACCAGGAGAGCCAACTCCCAAGTCCACTTTGTAGAGAAGAGCAGCTCAAGGAGGAAAGAAGTCTCCAAATTATGGAAGTCTACACAAGGATTGTTTCCTCTGCTGCAGGAAGTGAGTGGGGCAGAGGGGTGGACCACACACAGCCACTGAAATAAGTTTTAAAAATGTTATCATTATGAAAAGGACAGAGGAACACACACAAAAAAAACAATCACTGTTCATTTAGATACAAAAACCTTATAATGAAGATGGAACCAGAAACATCAAAAGCTGTAGAGCTCACCATGCCACTTGACAGTTGATGAAGTGGTATAAAAGCAATCTGATTTTGATCCATAAGGTGAAGGCTCCCAGTTGCTAAACTCACCAGGACAGCACTGCTCCTGCACCTTGGTTATCTCAAGTCACCATCAGCAAGGTGTTATCCTTAGAGAAGTGCAACACAGCTGAAGGCTACAAAATCCAACCAAGACCAACCACTCTGGTCTAGCCTGTAACACAGGTCAGGGACTACGAGACACTGGCGTGCCCACCGCATGCACCATGCCCCAGCCTCACCCCTCAGTGAGCTGCGGGGCGCAACACACTGCCTCCTCAGTGACTTGCATGCACAGTCACAGAACGTGGCCTCAGAACAGAGCGTCAGCTTACTCTGCTTGGAAATTTGTCCATAAATTGAATCCAATAATTTATTCACTGAAGGCAACAGAAAGGAGTACACCAACCTAACTGCCTCACTCAACACCCTCTTGCTGTTAACAGCTCTTAGTTGCTCTGCAACCTACTGAACAATCATTAGTTTATGTAAAAGACTGGGAGGAGCACAAAGAGTGACTTCGGAGAACACATGCATAAAAATAAAGCTCATTAGTTTGGCCATATGCCTCCCCTTACTTCTTAGATCTCTTCTTGGCCCTCCCCAGAGCCAGCCCAGGCTCAGTGAGGTATTTCTATGGCACTCCAGGAGGCAACTCTGCCACTGCAATAGGAAGAGCCCACGCAGGGACAAACAAGCACCAGCAAAGCTGCAAGTAAAGGCACAGACTACAAAAGCCAGTGTATAACATCCATATTGGATCAATGCAGATCTGCCCAGAGATGCCCCAGGTCTCCTCTGCATGCTTCTAATATTTAAACAGCAAGTGGCTTCAGCAACTTCCAGTAGGAGAGGAAGCAAACCTGCTCAGTTCTTCATAAGCAACAAGGTTATTACAGAAGCAGTATCATTCACTTTCCTTTTTACTACCTCACATGCATATTCAGTCACACATATGCAAAACAGCAATGACATTCTGACGAGTCTGCTTCCAAACAACTGCCGTCAAAGAGCTCCAAAGCCACCCTTATCATCCCGAGTTACACCGATCTCTGAGTCGCAGAGATCGCACAATCTCTGATAATGGCAATGCAATAGTTACGCAGGCAAGCACATAAGCAGCTTCCATTCTCCTGACTCATGTACACGAGCACCATGTAACATGTTGGGGCAATATTTACATTTGGCCACAGTAAGAACACCATTGAAATGGGACACAATGGGAAACAAAGCAGCACAGTGATGTTCCCTGCTCTGCCTGTGACGGATCCTGAAGAACACTGTAGGTTTAGAAAAGTAAAGGTCTGGTCAACAAGTAATTGTTAAACCATCTTCCTCTTACAGGTACTTGTGTATACAGACATCAGGTAAACAACTCCTCACTTTGACTGAAGCTGCACGATCTCTCAGTGCCCTGAGTCATTCTATGCAGAAGAGAAATTCGTGCTCATTACTATGGCAGTCTACAAATGTCTCTCTGTATTCCAAACACGGTGAAAAACTATGCAGATCACTTCTCTTAATCAACGGATGTCAGTCTCATGAGTAGGCAATTAGAAAGATTCCACTAATTACTATAATAATTAGATCACTGCTACAAATCCCAATTTAAAACACCTGCTCAGTGAAATATAATCTAATTGTGCTTAAAAAAAAAACAAAAAAAACAAAAAAAAAACAACAACAACAAAACCACTTACTTGTAATTAACAAACTACCTCGAAACCTTGGTCATTCTTAGTATTTTAATCTGGAATACTGGTTAAAAGTGAGGTCAGCCACAGTCTTGAGCATCTTACTCTACTGCTTTCCTGATGCTCAGATTGGGCACTTCCAGGAGCTTGCCCTTTTCTTGAAAGGAGAAAAATAAAATAAAAAAAAAAAAAAAATATATATATATATATACCTATATATCTTTCTTCTGTGCATGAATTACTTACACGTTCTGTAAGCTGTTTGTTCAGTGGTTGGTGGCAGGGGAGCAGAAAACACACTGGGCAACACTTCAAGAGTAATCTATTTTCGCCAAGCAAGACCAAACAAAGATTGGTTTTCTATTCCAAATCACCGTGGAAAAGCAGATGAGCAGAAACAAACAAGGGAGGCTCAAAGCAAGCTACAAGCATCCCTCTGTCCAGCAGAAACACGTAAACCAGCTCAGTCCACCTCCCGGGACTTCACCGCACAGCCAAGTTTCACAGGACCCCAGATACAGCCACACACCTGAAGTGCCCTTCCTGACCACAGCTCGCTGGTTGTCCCAATGGCACTGTTATCATTTCTGAGTCTGTAACACACCAAAGCCATTTCAGTGATTCGTATTGAACAGAACACTAAATGAAGGATTGGAAAGGGTATGTGAAGATGCTTTGAATGCATATTACTGAAGTAGCCAAGAGCATGACCTCCACTGCTCAAGATCAGACTGTACCAGAAAACGAACGTATCATTCAATTTACCAAAGTACAGCTTCTATAATACAGCCTACACAGGATTGAGAAAAACTCTTAAAAATGGAGCCACCTGTTATCAGAGCTTTCAGCCAGAAGGCCATTTCCAACAGCTTAAGTGAATCTTCATGGTAAGAGTATGAAAGGGGTACATCGAGATCTTGTCATAGCTGACTCATAAGGAAATAGTATCCAGTTCCCTAACAACAACAAATATATATATATATATATATACAGATGCAACTATCTTGTCCCTTATTCGAACATTACTGCACCAGTAGTCCTACCAACCACTCCAATACTTCTACATGGCAAAAACACCACACTAAGAACTAACACAAATGCTGGAAAACAAGGCCCTTACATTAGCAATAACAGCACTGGGCACTGCTTAAGAAAAAGTCATATGAATAACAAGGTAACAAGTAACACATGAAACCAGTCTCTACTGTGCTTCACTACTGTGCAGCACAATACTAACACACACATGAACACAAGGCTGTGTTCTAACAGAGACAGGGTGCCGCAACTACTCACACTCCTTATGGCAGAATACCCTACACAGCACTGGAAGCTCAGGATGCATTATAAATCTACATTTAGATAGGTAATGAGGCTCAAAAAACTTGGATCAACTTTCATACTACCTTTCTCTCAGAGTTTTCCACTCCATCGGTGAGGGAAAATACCAGCTTCTTTCACAGGAACTGCTGCTCAGTCTTCAACTTCATTAAATCAACCCTTTCTCCTCTGCAGAGAAGGCTTACCTTCAGGCTGATCCACTAACAAACCTGACAGCGGTACAGAAACAAGGCAGGCATGGCACTGGAAAACACCAGGCAGCAAAACAAATCCATAACGTGCAGTTTGAGGAGCCACTCTGTATCTCTTCAGCATCCATCTAATGAAGGCTTAAAACCATTCCCTTCCACAAGCCAAAGTACACAGACTAGGGAATCAGCGGCTTCCTAGATCCACATCTGCCCCAAGATTTAACTTGATCTTCCTTCAGAATAAGAAAAGGATTTGGTTTCTTCTGTTAAAAAAAAAAAAAAAAAAAAAGATGAAATGCAAGGCTCAGAAAGAAGATTCAGGACCACTACTTTTCCTTCAGCGTTTCCAACAGTACAACAGCAGAACTTAATGTTACCTGGAGCTTGGAAGTCAGCTCCCTAAAACATCAACTTGCACAAGACAGCAAGAGCTCAGGTAACTCTGTGCAAGACAACAGGGGCATTTTATCAGAGGAGTCCTCTGCCTAATGCAGTGTCTCATGAAGGAACTTACAGGTATCCCTACAAAAGAGGGTAAGAACTGCCACAAAAACAAGAGCTGTGCCTTCACAGCTGCACACCCCCGAGCCACGGCCTATCACGCAGTGGGAGCTCTGTTCCAGTCTTTGCACCCAGTACTGAAGTGCTTCTTCTGAGAGCTTTCAGAGCAGTGTGCTATGCAACTCTGAAGTCAAAGGCCTGACAGACACTAAGGTTTCTGGATATCTCATTTTCAATTAGGAGAAAAAGGGTTTACCCAAGGATCTGTATCACAAAAATAGAACATCTGTATCTTCCTTCAAGACTACCTCATGTTTACTATGTTGGCAAGTTTACCTACACCTCTGCTGTAAAGTACAGTTTCATTACCTCAAGAGGTCATTCACATTTAAGAGCAATAAAATGTGATTGATATTTAACTTGAATTCTGTAAAACATTCAGTGCACATGGAGACAGCAAAATGTTACACCATCACCACAAAAACAGAGCATTAACATCGGAGTGAATGTGTGCTCAATGGCTAAGGCTCAGCACCTCCTGTCACATAACCCAGCACTAAAGCCTTAAAAACTAAGAACTTCTTAAGAACAGCCACAGGCATGTTTTCTATTTAAAAAGCTCATATACTGTAATTAATAAAACAAGCAGAATAAGCTTCCAGAGCATCCCTTCGGAATCCCAAGCTCATTTTATTTCTGAAATCAGCCAATAAACAAGTAGTGCTCCTTTCAGCCCTATAGGGGAAAAAAGCAAGCCCACAGAAAAAGCACAGGGTGAATCATGCTCAGGACTGAAACTCAGCCAGTTATATGAGCACACTTCCATTGGTTCCACAGTATCCACTGTGAGAAGTACTTTCTTCCTTTGTTTAAGATTTCACACAGCAGGGTAGAGAAACCACCACTCAGCACTGAGCAGAGCCAGGGGCTGCAACAGCACACAAGCTGCCCAGGGCACACCCAGCCACAGCCCTGCCATCACTGTCAGTGCCCAGCAATACCCATGTCCCCATCTCACATTCCTCCAAACCACTGCTTGTTCTTTTTTAAAGAGAAAAAAAAAAAGCATGGTATAGTTTGTAATTCCTTAAATAGAGAAAGTTTTTCCACACCCAGGGACAGTCAAGTATTGAGGTAGTTGTTAAGATACGCCAAAACTCAAGTAAGCCTTCTATAAAACAAAAAGATCAGGAGAGAGGCACTGAGTTCAGTGCACTGGATGCGTATTAGAAAAAAAAAACAAAAACGCTTAGCTACCAGTGTACAACTGGGGCAATCAGCTAAAATTTGTCCAGATATGCTAATGAAAATGCAAGTAATACCCATCAATACTTTTCTACTGAACTTATTAGCTTCTGTACTCACAACACTCAACAGATTGTAATTTCAGGTCTGATGCCACAAAAGAAGAAAAGTGCTTCCTCAGTAGTGACAATGACAGGTGCAGCAGTGAATAACTTAAAATAGACTTCCCGAAGATCACAGCGCTTATCTGTGCACTTCCTGCTGCACAGATCAGTCTGCACTCTGCCAGTCTACAGATTTAGACACTTTCTTGGCTTAGAAGGAACACAGCTACCTCCGAATGCGCAAAGATGCTCCCTACAGCCTGTATTAGGCAAGAAAGCTCACACAACATAGAACTTGTATGTTTTCTGACCAGTAAAAGTGTATTCTGAAAGACAAAGCACTACACACAGCATGAGTCAGATGCCAAGTCATTATTCTTTATAGGTCAGTTATTCTTAGTGTCTCATAATCTCCAAGTTTATTTAGATTGCCTCTAAAAACACAAGACAGACTGACATTCCAAATTCATGACCTTTTATGTGCAATTACGATCAAACCTGGTTTTAAGTCTGATATAAACACCGAGTAACTGAGACAGGTGGGAGGCCAAACTCACACGGAGATGGGGAGGGTGCAGGAAGACCACAGGCTGAACAGCAGAGGTTTGCAGCAAGGCCAAGCACCTCAATGCTCGTAAGCTCACTGCACTACAGCCATCGTGGCCACTTGCTCTGCGTGCACACCGAGAGCCAAGCGTGTGAGTGGACCGAGTGTGATCCCTGGGTGTCATGTACACACAGACAGCGTCAGTATGCTTGGGCTACACTGCCTGTCTGACGCCAGGTCCCTTTTGAAAGGGAAGAGCTATTTTAATGCCTTTCATTTCTCTAGCATTCAGGCCACCTTTGACCTTCATTTGTTAAAGACATCCAAAAGAAACCAAACAAAAATAAATGCTATGCTTTTCTGGTATTCTTCAGGCTTCCACTCCTGCCCTGTACAAGCCTAAGCCTGTACCCGTAGCACAAATTAAATACATCCCACCTCTGAAAGAGCAGATACATGGTATTTCCTCCACCTCTCCAAGGCAGAGCAGTCATAACCCACCCAAAACTAACTGTAACATCGGTACGCAGGACACAACACACATTCCCCTATCAGGTGTGCAACTGCACACTGCTAGATTCTTCATGGGTAACTCCTGGAGACAGGGAACAAAGTTAAACAGATATGAATAAGCATGCCTTGCTGGATTCAACTAAGTTATTTTGTTTTATAGACATTTTAAAACTTTATGCCAAGAAAGCAATCTGCCTATCAGTGGAAAAAACCTACTTAAGGGACTTAAGAAAACTTCCTATTACCAGGACCCTACCTCTCTCTCACCACTGACCCTATACAGGCTACCAGAGGCTGCAACTAACACATTGTTTTCCGTATCAGTTCATCACAGCCTTTCTGCACAAGGAGTATTTTAGCTCTACTACATTAGCATCTGCTAAATAAATACAGCTGGTGTCTTGAAAACCATGAACTTGATCCTGCATGTATTTTTAGAGAGCAAAAATAGGAGCCCTTTGAATTACCAATTATAATGTTGATTTCATACTGTTTACCACATTACACTGTCAGTCTTCGCAACTCCTGCATTTTCATCATGTTGAAAATAAAGCACCAAGTAATAATCAATAGAAAAGAGAGGTGACATTTCTAATGCAAAGTGGGGAAAAAACAAAAACAAACCTCAACATAACAGTGAAATGATGATGTTAACAAGACATTCTAACTGCAATGACCAGGTACCTGGCAGTCTGCTCTCACAAAAAATAGATAAATAAAAATCAACAAGACATCACTGAAACATGGAAGGAAACACTTTCCAGACCAATGCTTCAGAACACTTTGTAATAACAGCTTCAAGACACCTGGAAGGTTTTTCAATCCTTTTATGTTTGCATCTCTGGGTATTTCTGACAGCACACCGATTCCCGTCATCACCCACTGGAGACTCTCCAACAATGGTATTGTGTGGCCTTTTCCTTAGGCACATTTCATTTTTTTTTCCATACAGACAAGTGAAATGGAATCACTCCAGGAAGAACTGATTACCTCTCCACAGGGCAGCGTGTTCTTGCTTCTTCCACCCGCTCAGTACTGCAATGATGTGACCCAGCAGGGTCAGTACAGCAGCAATATGCCAGAGTAGAATGTTCTCTCCCTGTCTGAAAGCATTACCGCTGCCACAAGCTGGCTTAGGACCTCAGACAGCGGCGTCACCCACACACACAGCACTGCCTGCTAAGCTGGCGGTTTGGCTTCCTTCAAACCCTCAACAACAGCTACTGTTTAGCTTTTCAGATAACTGAAGTAGACAATTTACATTAATCAAACATGAAAAAGCAAAGTTTCTAACAGTATACTTTTCAGCTATTGTGATGGCCTGAAGAGAAAGGACCTAACAGCATGACACACTCATTCACCCTCATTCTGTGAATGGCAGGAGAAACCACAAGGGCTAGACTAACATCCATTATAAACACAGAAGTAAACTACACATGCACTCCTGACCACAGCACAAACCAGTTCTGGATAAGACTCTACCTCCAGACCTAACAACTTCATCACTTGATCTTTTTTATTAGCAAAAAGTGCTTTTATCTACAGTCCTGAGCACAGGCCAAGCATGAGGTCAACCTCAAATTGCTGAAAGACAGGATGGTGATGTTCATGAGAAGACTGATCCTGGAAAACATCCAAATTCTTCCCCACTCCCCATCCTCACAAACTTACAGAGGGAAAACCTACAGCTTAACACAAACGAAGATACAATGGTGGATACCTCGCTTCTGATTTTCCGACTGGACAGTCGAACCATTTGTTGATTACAACATCCAAAGATAACGAGGCAACCAAACCATGCCCAGGGACATTTTCCTGCTGAAGCAAATCAACAACCATCAAATTCAGAGCTCAGTCTTCACAGGTTCTAGTTTTATTTACCAGTAAAAATATCCACAAATGCTCTTCCAGATGGCCTGGGCACTTCATACAAACCAAGCTGCTATCTTCCTGCAGCGCTAACCACGTGCTGTACCCTTGGATGCAACACAGACAAGTTACATAGCTGGTCAGAGATTTGTGTCCACTGCTCTCAGCACAAAAGCTCATCATGAGCACTTCAGTTTCTCTCTCCTCAGAAGCTTCTCCAGATTTTTCAATGATAGCCAAGGACATGTCTGCCTGTTTAGGACCTGTTTTTTCCACAGCCCATACTTCACCTACCTAAAAGCTAGTTAACTCACCCAAACAAAGGTGAGATTTAAAAACTCAGCTCAAGGTCTTTGTGACAAGAACACTGCTGTCATGGAAAACCAAAACAGATGTAAGAGTTCATGCAGAACTGCGCAACAACTCCCTGCAGTCAAGTCTTGAAGAT